TTGAACTGGGTATTGGGAGAATTTCTCCCCAAAAAGGGCTGCCCAGCCCTGGCACAGTGTCGGAGTTGCCATCAAACCAAAGTGACTCCCAAGATTGCAAAGGGAGTGGGGGTGAGCAAAGTGCTGCAAATTTAATGCACTCCAGTTACAGCATTTCCAGTCAGTCTGTGGAGAAATGCTGATAAACAGAAGAAAAAACCAGATTTTTCAAAACTTTATTCACCTGTAAGCTACAAAATTTACTTTATATAGAAACCAAAGTTGAAATACAGTAGTAAAGCATTTACAAGTAAAGCTTGAGATTGGGAAAACATTACAGGAGTAATTTGTTATCTTCTGTGAAAAATGCCAATCACTTGGTTTTAAAAATTTTAAAAGTTTAGTAATAATAAAATGGTTATAAAAGTAGTAATACAATCAGAGTAATAAAGTTTTGAGTTAGGACAATTACAAGACAATAAAAAGCAAAGAATTACGGACATCATGCTCTCGGACACTAAGTCACAAAAAGCATCCCTTGTGAACAAAGGAATAACCTTAAAAGCAACGGCCTGTTGTATATTCATATATTCCTCATGGCTATGCATACATTTTATTTAAAACAAGAACTCTCTGTTGTATATCAACTGTTTCCTTTAAACCCTAAGGCGCCTTCAAGTCGAGTGAGGCCTGAAGAAATTAGCTTCTTCTGATAAGAAAACCATAAATTCCTTTTCAAGATTTAGGTGTTCCTCTAAACGAGTATCTCATTCCTAAAAAAAAACACTCCCCCCACAAACATCGTCTCTATTTTAACCTTCTGTTGGAACCTAAAACTATATTTAGCCCACTACATAAGAGAATACAGCATAACTTTCTAACATTACAGATGTAATATTAGTGGCAATATTTGCGAATTTAAATTATTAATTAATTAATATTTAATTATTAATTCATTAATATTTGCTGTAACTTACAAATTATTAAGCTAACATTGTTCTGTTGTATACATTGACTTTATTCAAGCACGAGTTTCTCGTGAACTTCCCTAGGCCTCTGACCAGTTTCTCATGATTATTCTTACGATTAAACAGTAATTATATTTAATTACTAAACAATCATCACATCTAACAATTATATCATTTATAATGTACTAGCTACAGAGGTGCTGTTCTAGCAATGTACAAGGCCTACATGTACCCAGGGTATTTTTTCAGGGCCTAATAAGCTTAATTTTCCTTCTAACCCTAAATCCCCACGATTTAAAAACCTTTTTGCTATCACGAACGCCGCCTTCGAGCGGCCCAGACCGCCGGGGAGTGCCGGGACGGGGCACGGAGCCTCCGGGACGCCGCCGCCGGTTCCCGCCGAGCCCTGAGGGGAGAGAAGGCAGCGCGTGAGGGCAGAGCCCGCCCGGCCGCCCCGCCGGGCCGCGGCTCCGCGGGCCTCAGCAGGGGCTGCTCAGCAGGGGCTGCGGCCGCCCGCCGCCCTCAGACGAGGTGTCAGAAAGGTTAGTGTGGATCATCACCGGCCCGCCCTCGGTAATAGCGCCGGTACCGGCCGCGCTTCCCTCACCCCTCGTCCTCTCCTGCGCCGCGCCTCTGGCTGGAAAGAACGTGCTCGCGCCACGCTACGTTTTTTATGGCCACTGCCACGCCACTATTGGTCAGCCTGCTGTGGGCACAGCCAATCTCCAGCGGTTGGCGTGACCACCGCCCCACCTCTAGCAGCGCTGATTGGTCGCTGTTCTCCTCTCCACCAATGGCGACGCGCAGCGCAGCGTGGCCCGAGGCGGTAGTTGCCACCTTCTGATTGGTCACTGCAGTAGGCCGGGCAGAACCAGTAGCAACAGCGGTTGTAGCATGGAGTGGCTCTCCGCGGGGCGTGTTGGGAGTTGTAGTCCATGCGACTCGGCAGAACGGGCAGGAAGCGGCGCACGGGACTACAAGTCCCGAGGAGCGCTGCGCGCGGCAGTTCCGGGCCGGGCGCCGGTGAGGAGCAGGCCCGGGCGCGATGTGCCGGGACCGGGCACCGGCGCTGCGGCCGCCGCCGCCGCTGGGAGGTACGGGCGGGCCGGGGGGCGCCGGGCGGGCCGCGCCGGGCGGCTCCGCCACGGGAGGGGCAGGGCCGCGGGCCGCGGAGGGGCCGGCGGAGGCTCCCGGTGCCCGCCGCCCGCTGTGCCCGGGGTGCCGGCGGCTCTGTGGGGCGCTCGGAGCAGCTGGAGCATCCTCTGCGCTGTTCCGGCCCCGCTCACTGCCGCCGGTGTGTTGGCTGGGTGTCATCGCGTAGCTGCGGCTTTTTCTGCTCGGTTTTGTCGTTTTCCGCTCCGTTCCGTGCCCGACCGCAGCACGTGTTGCTGCTGCCGGTGTTTCCCTGCCCTCCCGGGAGCCTCGTTTCGCTGGGCTTTGGGCCCACAGTGTTCACAGCGTGGGTTGGCCGGGAGTGGCTCTCCGTGGCTGCCGCAGAGGTGCAGGTGTGGGTCGGGGCTGTGACCTGCGGGTTGTGCATTGTGCCGACCTGTCCTCTACTCAAGCCAGCTCTGGGGCTCTGTCCCCTGCCCTTATGGGCTGTGCATTGTGCCAACCTCGCCTCAAGCCAGCTCTGGGGCTCTGTCCCCCGCCGCTGCAGCCGCTGTCCCGCTGACAGACGCTGCCAAACTCTGGGATCCCTGAGCCGTGTGCTGGGAAGGGCAGCGGGGAGCATTTCCCTTGGGTTCCCCTTCCTTTGGAGCTCTGCTGGGCTCAGAGGCAGCGGCAGGGCCGGTGGGTGTTACAGGAGTGGCTCCAGAATTGTCCCAAGAACTGTGACCCAGCAGTTGTCTTTGCCACTTTGGTAACGTTGCTGTGCCTTTGTTTCAATCCCAGCAGTGTAATTCTGCCTCCCTGCGTGTTTTCCCCCCCCAGCGATGTGTTTCCAGGCTGCACTGAGCACTCGGGTTCCTCTTAAACAGCTTTAAAAGCTGCAGCATTTTGGTCTCAAGTGTTTTTGGCTGCTCCTTCCAGCCACAGCGAGGATGGTGGGGCTTGCAGGAGAGGGTTTGGGGGTGAAGGATGGTTCCAGAAAGCCTTTGATGGGTGAAAGTAGTCTCAGATCACAGAATCCCAGAATTGTTTAGGTTGGAAAAAATCTCCAAAACCACAGAGTCCATCCTGTGCCTGATCGCAGCCCAGAGCTCTGAGTGCCACGTTGGACATCTCCAGGGATGGAGACTCCAAACCTCTTTGGGCAGCCCCTTCCATGAGGAAATTCCTCCTGATGTGCAACCTGCACCTCTCCTGGCAAGGGAAATTCCTAAAATCCTGCAGGAAGCTGCAGGAGCGGGTCCTGTCTGCAGTCTGCTGGATTCCCTCCAGGCCCTGGGTCCCCTGTGTGGAGCAGGGAAGGGACAGGCTGAAGCTCCAGCGCTGGGTTTGGTTTGTGTGCAGGCGACACTGCCTCAAGGAGGGAACGTTTTACCCCGTGGAAATGGGAAACCTGAGCCACAGTGGTGTTTCCAGGCAGGGGATGCTGATACCTTCATTGCTCATACTCAAACAGGGGTTTTCATATTGATTGGGCTCAAGGAAGGAAAAAAAAACAACAAACCAATCCATGGTTTTGGGGTGGTTTGGTTCCCTGAGCTGGGGGATTCCAGGGTGAGCACTCCTGGGGCAGCACAGCCCCTGGTGGCCTGGAGCCACGTGTGAGCTGCAGGTGGAAGTTTGTGTCCCCTGCCTGCAGTCAGCCCTTCCCTTCCCCGAGGTTCTGCCAGGGCCTCGGGGAGCCCTGCAGGCTCTGGGTGGCTGCAGAGCTCCGTGTGCTGCTGCCAGCCCTGCCCTGCTCCTGGGGCTGCTCCTGGGCGCTCTGCAGCCCCAGTGGGGTTCAGCCATCGGTCACCCCGAGGGCTGAGCCTTCCCCTGCTGCCAGGGACCTTCCGAGCCCTGCTGGCCTGGCTGTGGCATTTCCTGGAGCGTGACTGTGCCTTTCTCACGGGTTATCCCGGCCAAGCCCAGGTGTGGCAGGAGGAGTGCACAGGAGAGAAAATCCTTCCTGGTCCGTGTTCAGTCTGTTGGAGCTCTTCCCTCCCGGTTTTTATCTGCACACACCAGCAGTCCCTGTGCCCGTGGCTTGGATCGGGGGGTGTAGGGAAGCTGGGACAAGGAGGGAGGCAGCTGGATGCTCACACGGGTACGTGTCACCCCTCTTTGAGCCCAGCAAGTCCCCCTGGAGCCTAAAGGCAGCAGCACCCCAAATTACCCATTCAAGCTGCTCCTGCTTTGCCTCAAGCACAGCTATTGTAAATGCAGGTGAACCCAGTGGGAAGAAATGAGGATGTCTGACTCAATTCAAAAGGCTGAATTATTTCTTTATTATAACTATGCTAAAATACATTAATATACTATATAAAAGGAGGGTACTAAAACTACATACTACTTTCTCTGACCCTAACTCAACTCGTGACCTTCTCTGAGAGTGCAGCCCCAGGTGGGTTGGATTGGCTGTCAGGCTCAAACAATCCTCACCAGAATCTAATCAAGCAATCACCCCAGGTAAACAATTCTCCAAACACATTCCACATGGGCAAAACAAGGAGCAGAAATAGAAATTGTTTTCTCTTTCATTTCTCTCTGTGCACCTCTATGAAAAATCTTGAGAGAGAAATGTGCTTGCCACACACAGCCTTGGAGGTTCAGAGCTGCCTTTGAAGGAGGTGTCCTGGGGGCTGGAGCGGGGCAGTGCCTGCTCCTGGGGCTGCCCCAGCTCTGGGAGGGGTGTCCTGGCAGTGGGAGTCCCCCACCACCACCAGTGGCTGTGTTTCAGCCGAGTCCTGCTCCCCAGTTCTGCCTTTTTGGGTCACTGGGTTTCCCTGGATCATCTCTCCAGGCAAAGAGCGCGATGCTGTTTGTCATGCAGAATTCTGAATAGTTGGGGAACTATAAATGAGGGTGAGAAACTCAAACTCCCCTTAAAGCGAGCGAAGGGCCTTTCTGTCTCAGGAGCTTTCTGTGTTTGGGGGAATAAATCCGTGTGTGCTGGGAGAGGGATGTTTTTCCTGCACTGAACTGAACCCGGAGCAGCCGGGGCAAAGCTGGGAGGCAGCGTGGAGATTGGCTGAGCTGTGGGATTTTCCAGCTGCATTTACATATCGCCCACTGCTCCGCATGCCTTTGTGTTTACATCACCGGGGAGCGATCCACACACGCACACACGTAGCGGAAGAGGCACTTTGGCCGGGGAGAAGCCTGTCCCCAGCTCAGGAACCGGGCATGGTGGTGGCATCTTGCCGGGCTCTGCCGCTCCACGATGGCCAAGGGTGAGTTTGCTCCAAGGAGAAGTGTTTGCTCCGGGTGCTGGGTGTCAGGCTCTCGGCAGCATTCCCGGGGAAGCTGCTCCCCTTCAGCAGCGAGGGAGGAACTGTTTTCATCCCTCCTTAGGGAGCAGGAGGTACCTGAGTCCTGCAGCAGCTTGGACGGGGGTACCTGTGGCCCCTCCAGCAGCTGCAGCTGTGTCACCCTGATTTTCTGGTCCTTCAGAGTGACCTTTGCAAGGGCACGGAGTGCTTGATTGCAGCAACTTGGCAAGAGTGTCCTGAGGTTAGTCTGGTGTTCCAGAAGTGGGAAATCTTCACTATTCCTTAGGCAGAGCTGTGAACACAGAAAATAAGTTTGTAAAGAGAGGCCGTGTCCCCTGGAATTCTGAGTCACCCTGGGGGAGAGTTTAATCTGTGGGGTCTGGGGTTGTGGGACACTGAGTGGTGCTTCTGTCTCAAAGCTGTCAGCAGATTTGCCGTGGTGGAAGTGTCCACATCTCCTGATTTCTTTTGGAATCAAGGATTTGCTTTTGTTTCTCCCAGGATCACTAATTTGATCGATGAGTGTTGGTGTCTACAGGTGCCTCCTGCTTGTTTTCAGTAGCAAAACCCAAGGGAATGTACAAAAAAAGAGCAGGTGACTAGAATTTGCTGTCTTTTTTTTTTTTTTTTTTCCTGAAGAAGAAGATGATGTATTTAAGCTGGATCTTTGAAGTGTTCTAGTTGCATCCAGAGGGCAGAGAAGCGTGTGTGTCACGAGGTGCCAAAACTTTGGAGGATGTTGGGGGGAGCAGGGGGTGGAAGTGCTACTTTGTGCTTTTTGAGTCATGGCTATGGGCTCAGGTTTGCTATGACTTTAATCTGGAAGAATCCCATAGTGTGGTGGGGTGGTTGCAGCTTTCCAGAGGATGCAGTGCAGCCAACCATAAGGCAAAGCAGCTGGAAAAGTCCTCAGCCATGGCACAGGAATTGGGGAATAAAGGAGAGGGGAGCTTTGCTTTGACTCTTGCAGGACTCCAGGAGAGCAGAATCCAGGTGAGACAAACATTGCTCTGGCTTCCTTGGAAGAGCAGAAGCCAAATTTCTCCATCCCCCAGGGGTTTTCAGTTGAGCTGCAGGCCCCTCTCTCTCAGATTTGCAGCAGGGAGAGCAAGAGCAGAGCTGAGGCAGCCCACAGGACCCCGTGGGGTCTTGGCAGCCATTTATTCTCTGTGTCAGACAGGTCTGAGGAGCACCAGGTGTGGTGTGAGTGGTGAGGGTGACTGCTCTCAGCTTCTGAAGTGTGGTACCTTCCATCAGGATCTGCCTCGCACAGAGCTGACTCTTCCCTCCCGAGGAACTGCAGCAGCACTGAGATTTCTGCCTTGGAGTGGGAGGATGTTGTTGGTTTCAGGGCTTGGCTGGGGTTTTATTCTTTTTCCTTCACCAAATCCACAATTGAGCAATGTGATGTTCTCTGTTCTTTGAGGGAGCATGTGGAAGAGCACAAGCTGTGAGAGCCACAGCAAGCAGTTGTGCAGTGGCAGGGCCAACTTTTAAAGCACCTTTTGATTAAGGTCCTTGTGTGGCAGAGCTGTGGATGTGCCTGTTCCTGCCCAGCAGTGACTGAGGAGCTGCTGAGCCCACACAGGACAATTTTGGTTGCAGGGTCAGAACTGGGCTGCATAACAAAAATGGTTTTGTGTGTGGATCCCCCCAGGTTACCTGAAATGGAAATAAAATTTCAAATGTAGCTTTGTGTCATGGACAGCACTGAATATTGGCATCTGATCTGAGTTCTAATTTAATTTTATTTTTCTGGAAAAAATTAAGGTGCTTCGTTTCACCAGAGCAATCACTTTTGATCCAGCTATGGGAACATTTGAAAGCTACAGTTTCAGGGTTTAACATGAAGTATTGCAAATATTCTTCTATCCCAAGGCTTCATTATCCTTTAGGAAAAGCACCATATGAAATGCTTTTCCTTCTGAACTCCATTTGTTCAAAGGCATGGCAGTGTTCAAACAGCTGTTGAACTCTCAGTCCTGCAGTCAGTGCAAGCGCTGGTAAAAGTAGCAGCAATTAAAAATATCCCTTTTATTTTTATTGATGACGGCTCAGTACAATTATGGTCTCACTGTAAGGCACTCACAAAAGCTGGTGTGACTTAGAAGAAAAACTTATAAACAGTAAAAAGACTGTTCCAGAGATTCATCAGGTGGAGGTGCCACGTCCTGTCAGTAAGGCTGAGCTTCTGTTCATGTTTTATGTCCTTCTTGCAGTGACTGACATCTAAAGAGCATAAGAAATGTCCTGCTGGGTCAGCTGTTTTAGATTTTAGCTCCTCTGCAACCTCTTTGTCTTCTTAGTTTTGTGGGGTTTCTCATAAGCTCTCCACCACCAGCTGGTACTGACTGCTGGGAAGAGCTGAGTGTCACCTGCAGAGGCGGTGACTTTACTGCTGGCTCTTCCTGCCCATCTTCACTGCTGGCTTTTCCTTCCCATCATCTTCATTGCTGGCTTTTCCTGTCCATCTTCACTGCTGGCTTTTGCTGCCCATCTTCACTGCTGGCTTTTCCTGTCCATCTTCACTGCTGGCTTTTGCTGCCCATCTTCACTGCTGGCTTTTCCTGCCCATCATCTTCACTGCTGGCTCTTCCTGCCCATCATCTTCACTGCTGGCTCTTCCTGCCCATCATCTTCACTGCTGGCTTTTCCTGCCCATCATCTTCACTGCTGGCTTTTCTTGCCCATCTTCACTGCTGGCTTTTCCTGCCCATCATCTTCACTGCTGGCTCTTCCTGCCCATCTTCACTGCTGGCTTTTCCTGCCCATCTGCCCCAGGGGGCTGGGCCAGGCTGTCTCAGCAGTGCTGCTGGGATCCCTGGCCTGCTGTTCCCTGGCTGAGGAGTGACCAGTGGGCTGCACTGTCTGCCTCTGCTCCGGTGTCCATCCAGAGGAGTCAGTGTGGGGATCTGCTGCAGCTCTGCACTCCACACCCCGTGCTGTGCAGGTCAGACCAGATGCTGACAGTCCTCGTCACCCTGAGGAGGTGCAGCTGAGGTGCTGCTGGTGCCAGAGGAGTTAATTACCCCACAAACACCCTGTGCCCTTGGCACCTGCGTGTGCCGCTCTCCTCCCAGGGAGCTGTCGGTGCTTTCGTGGGAGTATTTCCCCGGGGGTGTGCCAATACTCTCAAGGATGTGTAACTCTTCTTGTTGTGAGTGCAGTGTTGTAAGAGGAGCAGCAGCTCGTGTCTTACGCCACAGATACCCGAGCAGTGAGATAAGGAAGTTCACGCCAGCCAGAGCAGGATAATCGTGCCTGCCTTGGGACAATTTGCCAGCCCAGCAGTTTCCTTGGGGGTGAGTAACCTCCAGGAGAGCTTCAGTGGGCAGAGAGGAGGAATTAGCCAGGCCACTGGTCCTGATTCCAGCTCTGAGGTGCAGTTATGGGGTGCTCTGTGGCTGATCCCGTTGGGTCTTCCCTCAGCAGTGGGGAGAGGCAGCACTGCTTTCCTCTGCAGCTGCCTCTGCAGCTGCTGCTGGTTGGGTTTTTTCTTGCCTGAATTACTAAAGTAGGATTTTAAGGCTTTTCTTCTCATTGAGTCTCAAAAGCCTCGAGTTGATCCCTGTGATGTGCAAATGCTGAAACCTATCCCTGCCCCCCTCTTCACATCTGGTTATGATCAGCTGTGGGATTTACTGAATATTGGGTCCCAACAACTTCCCTTTTCCAGAGGAGATTCCCCCCCCTCTTTGTTTACTGTAAAAAACTGATGTTGCATGTTAAAAAATTAAATCCAGGCAAGGGGAATGTGATCACAGGCTGGGTTCCCAGCACCAGCCACCCGAGAGGGACACTCATCCTCCAGGCCTGGGAGCACAGGACAGTGTAGCTGGCAGGGTTCAGATGCCAAGCAGAGGTGCAGAGATCTGGCAGAGATTTTTGCAAGTGCTGTAGGAAGTTGGTATTAATGTTGGCACCATCAGCTCTTTTCTCCCTCCTTTTAAATTCTTTGATATCAGTTGGAGAAGATTCTCAGATGGAAGGGAAGATGTGAGGAGCTTGTCAGACAATGCTTTGGAGAGGCATCTGCTCTGCAGAAATGCTCCTGTCTGTGGTGGGTGCAGAGGTTTGGGCTGCAGTCAGATATTGCTGTGGCAGCTGGGCTTGTGCAGCCTGCCTGATATTCTGCTGGACATTTTTTCCATTGCTCACATTCCTCTGGTCTCTGCTTGCAGCAGACACCAGCAGGCTCCCTGCTGCTGCTGCTGCAGGTACCTTGCTCAGCCAAGCTGCAAGCACAGTCAAGCTTGACTGCAAGCACAGTCAAGCAGTCAGTGGGAAATCCCTGTGTTCCACATTCCCTTCCCCACTTTGGATTTATTGGGGGTTCCAGGCAGGGTTTGAAGGGTCATTGCATGGCTAGAGTGGCTGCAGTCACTGTTTGTGGCATGTCTGCTCTGACCTTTAATTGTATCAGAACTCCTCACGCTGTCAGTTTACCCCAATTTTTGTTTTCCCTGTCTCTGAGTGTTTCTCATTGCTTGAGTCTCCATCTGTTCCATCTGAAGGTGATGCATACCCTGAAAATGAGAGGTAATGAAGCTGTGCCTGAGTCTCCAGACAGCCCACGAGCCTCCATCAGGGTGGGTTTCCTCTATTCCCATCTGGGAGTGACTGTTTGCCCTAAACCCCAGGAGGAATATTTGATATGCAAGGTTCCCTTAACCTCAGCAGGCATGGCTGACGACGTGGGAGCAAATCCCTGCTCCTGCCTTGGAGCAGTGCAGGATAAAGGGCGTGTGGGAAGGTGTTGCATTGATTTGTATCCCTGGAAATTTGAATATTTCTCTATTTCCAGCCAATTATGGGAGGAGCAGAGTCCTGAATCCCTTTTCCAGAGGAGAGTGGTGAGCCTGGGTGTACTGCTAGATGTAGGGAACCTGTGGAGTGGGGAATTTTAGGGATGTACACGTTACTGGACATGAGATAATACAGCCTTGAGACAGGAAATCCTGGGAAATGTGGCAGTTGGTGCCATCACTCGTGGAAGTATTTGCTTTGCTTAATTTATGAGCACTGCATCATCTGGGGGCCCCAGCTGGAGACCTCTCATCTTCAGCCTTTGTAGTTGAAGAGGGGAATCATCAGGCTTGTGCACAAGGGGGGAATTTTTGCTGGGAGGAAGCTGAGAGCTCCAGTGGCTCATCCAAGGCTGCCAGAGGGAGAGAAGCTGAGTCAGTGGGGCTCAGATTTTCTGGGGCCAGTGGCCCAAACCCTTTGTCTGCCCTCTCTCACCCTCCCTCTGCTTTCTCTCTGTGCCCTCAGGAGCACAGACAGGAATAAAAGGATCCAGTGGCCAAAGCCAAACCTGTGGCTTGCTGGAACCCAGCTTTAAACTCTGCAGGTCTCCCTGATGCTGCAGCACAACTCTGCTTCATTCCTGCTGCTTTTGAGACAACTCCAGACTCTGTGCTCAGCATCTCCTCGGGGATCTGGCATTTGCAAGCAGCCAGGACAGCGCTGTCACGTGTGTGGAAAACGTTATCCAGATCCCTGGTTTTTCAGATGGTTTTGGGTTTGGTTTCGGGGTTTCCGTTTGTTTGGTTTTTCTTTGGGATTTTGGGTTTTTTATAATTTTTGAGTGTAGTTGTTTCTGAGAGTTTAGACCTGAGCAGCAATCCCCTGCTCAGGATTCTGCTGTTCCTGGCTGCCTGCCAGCTGTTGGGTCCAGAGCTGCAGGGAGATCTGAAATGCTGTGTCAGGTCCTGAGCAGAGCTTGGCCCAGTGTCACCTTTGCAGTGTTCAGAATGCGTGTGCAGGGTGTGCCAGGGCTCTCCAGGGAGGTGGGAATCCCTGCCAAATCCCAGGTCACAGCTGCCTGCTGGGATCCTGTCTCTCTCTGAGCCTCAGTTTCCCTTTCTGTAAAGTGGAGATATCACAGTGGTGTTTTTATAAGGAGCTTGGAGATTTAGGACTTGTCACTCCCAGGTATGAGAAAACCAATTGCTAGAAACACCTGAGCCACTTCACCTCCCCAGTGCCAGGCTGAGCTTTGTTCTCTCTGAGGGAAACTCCTGCCTGAGCCAGGAGCACCTCTGTGTGATGGCAGAGGAACTGCAGCTCCTTCCTGAGGGTGTCCTGGCTCTGAAGGAGACTGAGAGCATCTTGTCAGATTTGCTGGGACAGCAGCATAATTGTGCCTTGAAGCAGTATCGGGTTTCAGCAGAGGTTAAAGAAAGCAAATTCCATGTGTTTCTGCAGATTATTGTTGTGGAATTCTTGACTTTGCAAACTTGAGCCTAATGAACTGGTGGAGGGGGAGAAATGAGACTGTTATTAAGAGATAATCATATACTTAAAAAATGCTGAACACTCACCCAGGAATGATGTGTAGGAATCTTTGTCCTCACCTCTTGCTTCTGAAAATCCAGGTTTATTTGAGTTTAGGTAAACACTCGGGCTTTGTGCTGCAGGAGAGTGTTCTCTGAGCCCAGGGAAATACCCACAAGGAGCCTAACTCCCTTTGTGTCCTTCTCCCACAGAGCAAGCTTCCCATGACTGACAGATGCTGGCCTAGATTATGAGCTCAAACAAGAACGGTCGCTACAATCGTTTCCCCAGTGGCACCACAAACATCCCAACTTCTGAGAACACTAACGGGGTAAGGCCACTGCTGCTCACAGGCAGGGGACAGGCCTGCTTCCTGGGCTCTCATCCTTTCTTTTGAAACAGGCTGTTTTCTAGCCACTTAAAATGTCACTATTCACAGATGAAAGCTGGGAATGTGTATGCAGTATTTCAGCAGCTCAGGCAAAGTCTGAAGGCTTTAAATGCCCTGACATTAATTTTTTCGATATTTCAGACAAGAATGGAAACAACTTTTGGACCAGCCTTCTCTGCTGTGACCACCATCACAAAGGGTGGGTATTTCACGTGTACTGTGTGTGATCCCAGTGTGGTTGTTGTCCTTTTCCAGATCATAAAGCTGTTGGGAGAATCTCTGGTCATTAACCAGGTGTTGAGGGCCTGGGTTTGGTGTTGTGCAGCCCAAGTGTCCTGACAGGATGGAAATGAGCAGGTACAGGAATTTTCTCTCCTCAGGCAGACTGAGCAGTACCCCTGGGAAGCCCTTGCTGAAAACAGAGTGGTACAACAGGGTTTGATGCTGAGCTCAGCACCAAATCCTATTGATCCCTGTGACAATCATCACCAATGCTGAAAATTTCCATCTTCCTTCTGTGCCTGACTGTGAGTCACTCTAGAGCTTTGGTAGAACCCCGTGGCCATTTTTAGCTCAGAGAGGAGGGGATGCAAATGTCCCTGCTCATTTACAATTCCTGTGCCTTGTTCCTCAAAGCTCAGCAGGTGAGGGGTGCCTGAGCCCTGGTACGTGGGGTGAATGTAGGAAGAGGCCTGGTTTCATTTTGGGATACAAATATCCTTCCTTTAATAGAAACAAAAAAGACTTGACACTGATTTTGATAAGGCTATGAACATCTGCCTGAGAAAAATGTTTGGATTACATTTGTCCTGGACTCTGGATGGTTTTGGACTCCCAAATATTTACATTTAGACTGTTATACGTATAAGAGTCAGTTACATGATCTCTATACAAATATTTCATATTTAATTTAGCATGGCTCCCCTGTGCCTCAGGGATATCCAGACCTCCCTGGATTCAGGCAATTTTTACTGGTGACTGAGATATATGGGAGTGTAAAGTTTCCTTTTAATAATATTTTTAAGCTGTGGATCTGACAGGATATTGCCTGTGCTGTTTTCTGGGCAAGCTCTCAGAGATCAGCGTTGTTCTACCTGTGCTGATACATCCAGTCATGAACTAGCATTGGAGAATCCCTAGTCTTTTCCTTTTCTAAGGAACACTTACAGCTACAGAGGCTGTCCCATAGCTTGGAAGTGTTTCTGAGGAGCCTAAATGCTTGTTTTTCTTTTTTAATTCCCTGTAAAGCTGACGGGACCAATACTTTCAAGCAGCACCGTCGGACCCCGTCCTCCTCCAGCACCCTCACCTACTCGCCACGGGATGAGGATGATGGCATGGTAGGTGTTGTCAGGACCCTCCTGACTGGCTTAGCAGATCAGAAGTGAAATGAGGGTGTCTGGAGCTCCTCTGGACCCCTCTGCCTCCCACATCATTCTCTGTGTAACGTGTGCCCCAAAGGCAGGCCCAGCCTCAGCATTGCTGGTGCCGTGGGGAAACAGCTCATGCTCACCTGGGGCTGCAGGCTGGAGCTGCTGCTGCTGCTTTTCACACTGTTTGAGGTTGTTATGTGGGTCCAAAGCCTAGGAACTACAAATCCCAGAGCCTCTCTGGGAGGGAGGACCTGGCTCCTGGGACAGCAGGGAGCTCGGGAGGAAGCAAGCCCTGCCAGGGATGTCTGGGCTGAGGCTGGGGCCAGGCACTCTCTGTGCTGGATGGATCCCAGCTGGCTCTGCAGTTATGGCCATAGAACCCATTCCTATTCCCACCTCCAGAGGGGGCCTCTGACCACAGGGAGCGGGTTTGAAACCTGCAGTCTGGGACGTTGGACACTACAGGCTGTGCTGGGCTTCCCACACAAACCATTCCTGTGTCTCCCAATATCTTGGTGGTGAAGCAGTTCCCAATTTCGTATCCAGCTTTCTCACTCACTCCTGAGTAAGTTCTTTTTGGGTAATTTAGTAATTCAACAGTCTTCAGGGTTAGCTGCTTGGAGAGAAATTAAATTAGCTAAATCAATTAAATCAAGAACAGCAAAGCAAACATTGATGAAAGGATGTACAGCTCTGAGGCTGGACCTTCTCTTGTCTCTGGTGCTCCAGCCACATCTCACAACCACAAGCTCTGTTCAGATCTAAACATGTTAGTAACAAACTTCAAATTAAGTATTTGTAGACACAGTCAGGTTACAAGACCCAATTTCCAAGGCAGGCATAAATGGATCATTGCTGCTGGAGTTAGAGACTGGGGTCAGCAACAGTGAGGAGCTGCAGCACTTCTTAAAATAAATTTGACACCAGATTGCAAAGAATTTTATTGTCAGCATCCTATAAAGTTCCTTCTGTTGCTCAGAGATCTTGCTGTGTTTTATGTGAGCCCGTGGGGGTTTTGTTTGTTGTTGGTCTTTTTTCTAACAAGTCCTTTGAAAATTTGCCTGGTGTCCTTGGCAAGAGCAGCTCTGCAGCCCACCACTGACCCCACGAGCTGGGCCAGTGTTCAGGCCCCCCCTGAGTGTCAGCACAGATCCTCTGGGCTGAATGCTGAGCTCACAGTGCCCTTTTCACAAGCTGGGCAGTTCTCACAGGGCAGAGGGGAGTATTTTTCCAGAGGAGGGGATTCTGTGAATATTTCATTTAGCCAGGTCTGATAAAGAAACTCCCTGACTCCTTTGAAAACTCCACTGGCACAAACTGGGGTGTGCAGCCAAGAATGGGGGAGATCTCTGCTGGGAACCAGCTTCAATCCTCTTGGACAGTCTCAGCCCACTTCCCCTGGAGTGAAAAATATTCTTTAGCAAAAACAGTGAGAGGATTAACGAGTGGTTCAGGAAGCAGTGTGAGGTGCTGACAAACCAGAACCGCCTCGGTCCTGCTCTGCCTACTGCTCCAGGCAGACTCACTAACCCTCTTAGGAAGCTTCATTTGCTTTGTCAAGAAATAATCTGGGATTTCCCTTCCTCATCACTGAGTTCTCCCTCCTCCAGAAGCTGCCAAGGGCTTCTCAGCCATCAGAGAGACAGCTGGAGACCAGTCAGAGCCCTCCTGTGACCTCCACCACCCCTTTTTTGTTCCTTGTAAAGCTGCTGTTAATGAAACAAATGCAGAGCAGTGTGCTCTGTGTGCAGGGCAGGGATTACGGAGTGGCTGGCGTTGTCCTGCCTGGACACAGGGCCACAGGTTCCCACCTTGCTGTGCCTGTATGGAGCTGGAACCAGGGCTGTGCTGGGGCCTCCAGCTGGAGGCTGCTCCTGTCACTGAGGTGGTGGGAGCCTCAAGTAAAGATTGCTGCTGAATATTGGAACAATTGGATACCATGGATGGAGGCTGCCTGCCTGTCCAAAGCCTGTTGTTTACAGGGAGCTTCACTTCTGAGCCACAGGCTGGATTGAATTGCCAGCAAAAAACCTCTCAATCTTCCATCCTTGGGCTGTTTGAAGGTGTGCCTGATGTTTAGTGCACAAATGAGGTCTCTCAAATTTTATCCTTGTTTGCTTGGCAAAACCAAGGCTGCAGATACCCAGAGGGTCTGGAACTGCCAGCACACCCTCTGCCATTCTGTGTTGTCCCCACAGCCTGGGAGGAGTGAGGGATCAGCCCATCCCCTTCTCTGCTGTGCAGTTAACACCAGCATTATCCAAACCAGGATGCAGGGAGCTGAGCCCAGAGTCTTACACAAACCTTCTGTGTCTCACACCCCTGCCTGCTGGGAAAGCTGCAATCCTCTTCTCTGTTGGTGATCCTCACTGGATGCTGCTGGTGACAAACCTGCCTCCCTGCAGAGCCTGCCTTTGCTGCCCTCACCCCCTGTCACCTCCAGAGTGGGAACTATGCACAGTCATTCTGCTTATTTTAATAATTTCTGCTACCAGTGGAGGAAAATAATAAAATGAATGGCTTCACATAAATTGGATTTACCTCATTATAGCCATTCCTCCTTCAGGTTTATGTATTTAGTCAATAAATATGCTGTCTTTAAAGGAAAGACATTTATGCTTTGGCTTCTAAGCAGATGCAGCATTTCTGAGTTCCTCAGAGCCCAGGATCATAAAAATGAAGCAGCAGAGCAGTGTGAGGAACCAACAGGATCCTGGTCTGCTGCTCTCCTGCAGCCCAGCCAGGCTGCACGGGGACTGCAGCGTGCTTTGTCTCTGGGGAGGGCAGCAGCCTCTGAACCTCATCTTGCAGTTCCCATTGCTGCATTTCCTGCTGGCCCCACTGCCCTCCTGCATTGCCTTTGTCTGGCCTTGGCTCTGATGTCACCCACTTTCAACCAGGGTAGGCACACAGAATGCAGCTCCCGAGGCTCAGGTGGAGCACAAGGAAAAGTGTTTTTCCCACAAGGTGCAGGACAGGAACTCAGCAGAGTCTGGTCCGTGCAGCTTTCCCTGTTCCCTGGGCAGTGCCAGGCCTGGCCAGGGCCAGGGAGAGTCCCTTTTGCAGTCAGGGATCTCCAGAGCTCCTTCCAGCCAGCACTCCTCTGGGCTGGAGACTGACAGAGGCTACAGCCAAGCCTTGGAGAGTGTGACACGTGCAGATGCTCATCCATCGTGCCTTGTCTGAAGTGCTGAAGCTTCTGGCTTCGTTCTTCCATTTCTTTGTCCAAGCTTCCATTCTGTTCATTGAAGACCTTTATTCCTGCTCTCTGCACCTTTTGCACTCCACCAGCAGCATCTCTTCCAGAGTAACCCTGCAGTGGCTGCACTCCCAGCTGCACTGGATCCTCAGATCCAGTGGCACTTTGACACCGAGTGGCACCTTGGCTACGTGCTGGTGGCTGATACTCCACCTCGGAGACGTGCTGCTGGTTAATATTCCAGCACAGCACTCCCTCCAAGCCAATCCCAAGGCCACCGTAGGCAGAGGATCTCTCTGGATTGGCGCGCGCCGCGTCCGCTCCGCTCTCCCCTCCCGAGCAGGAAGCGGCAGAGCCGGGCTCACAGAGAATTCAATAGAAGGAAGTCTCCACACTTACGCAAAGAAATTTGGCAGAAGTTAGATAGTGAGTGCAACAACAAGTGCTGCTGCAGAGATTAGAGACGTTGCAGGAGCTGGAGCAGTCTCTAGGGGAGATTTACAGAGCTTTCCATGAAGGATTAATTCTTCCAGACCATTGCTTTGCGGGTGTGCACGGTAAGTGTGCAGGGAATGCACCTTGGAGAAGGTGATGTGCTTGGAATTTGGATGTCAGCCTGACTTAGGAAGTGAAACCTGAGTGATTCCTGTCTCTGGGCACGGTGCAGGGAAGGGCACGTGGCAGCAGGGCCACTCTGCAGCTGGGAGTGGAGCAGCTGAGTGTTGTGGAGGGGGAAGGCTGAACTTGAAGGCTGTGCCTGGAGTTTGGGAATTGCCTGCACTGACCTGAGCTGCTCTGTGTCCACAGCCTCCGATCAGCACCCCGCGCCGCTCCGACTCCGCCATCTCCGTCCGCTCCTTGCACTCTGAGTCCAACATGTCCTTGCGCTCCACGTTCTCACTCCATGAGGAAGAGGAGGAGCCAGTAGGTATTTGGGATTGTCTGAAGGAGCAGGATTAGGAAGCTCATTGTCAAAAGAGTAACTTAGTGGACTGTCGTGAGTACACAGAGCTCTCAGGGGCAGATTTTGTGCGGTGCCTGGCTCAGACTCCTGCTTTTAACTTTGATTCCACCACTGACTTTGCTTCCTCGTGTACCATTTTTCTGCCTGGAATGCAAGGACAATGGTGAGGCTCTTCTGCTTCCCAGAAAAACTGTAAGTCTATGCAAAGTCCTGTGTGAGTCCTGCAGCAGAGCAGGGCAGCTTGCAAGGCTCAGGCTGGTGGTCTGGTCCCAGGCAGCAAAAAAATACAATTCCCTATGGATTTGGAGCCCCATCCCCATTCAGGGCTGCATGGCACCCCACAGACTTAAATGTAAGCCCCAGGAGGGTGCAAGGAATTGTCTACATGCTGGGGAAGGATACTTTTAAACTGAGCTTAGCTTGTGACCCAGTAACCAACCCCAAACTGGATGAATAATAGGTCAGGTGGCGTTCTGCCACTGATCTGGGATAAGAGTTTGTTTCATATTTGGGAACCCAGGGGGCTGTGTTTGCATTTCTGAGAGCAGTACAGGATGAAAAGACAGAGGGAACTGCAGAGATTGATTGGAAATGCTCTGAAATGTGAGCATGGAGAGCCGTGGTGCTCTGGGAGGATGAGTTTGGAGCCCTGTGCTGGCTGTCCTAGTTGGTTAACAAAACTGGAGAGATGGGCCCACTGCAGCAGAAATAATGTTTCAGCTTCCTGAGGAGTGAAGGAGCTCTTCCTTCAGAATTCTTCAGAAACACAAGAGAGCAGGCTGTTTTAAAATTACTCTTAAGCTCAGGCTTAGCACAATTTTGACAACTCTGTGCTCAGGCCAACCAAGGACAAAGTCCCAGCCAGTGCAGCTCATGCAGTTCTTGTGACTGAGTCAGTGGCAAAGAAGCTGGTCTGTGCAGTTTGCTGTCAGGTGCTGATCCTGCCAGATGCTGGTGGCCCCCAGTTTGTGATGAACTTGAGGGTCTCCAGCCATTCCCAAGTTCATTCTTCCCCTACTGGAACTCAGCAGATCCAGACAGAATTTTACATTGATGTAATGTATGATCCCTCAGAGTGCCCCAGGCTCCCTGAGGCTCACCACTGAGGGATTGTGTTATTCCTTCTGCAGAGCTGCAGGCTCTTGGTTTGGACTAATGCACGCTGTGTGTGTCCCTCTGTGTGCCCTGCAGGAGCCTCTGGTGTTTGCAGAGCAGCCGTCCGTGAAGCTGTGCTGCCAGCTGTGCTGCAGTGTGTTTAAGGATCCCGTCATCACAACCTGTGGGGTAAGGCATGGCTCTCCCAAACATCCTGTGTGAGCCTCAGTCAAGCCTGGGCTGTCCCCTCTGTCTCTCCCTGGGGACTGTCAAGCAAAATTAGGGCTTGCTTAAAGTGGGATGGCTTTTCCCAGGAGGGTTGTACTGTCAGCCACCCCATCCTGGCCACGTTCAGTTTCCTTGCTGTGGCTTCCATGAGGATGGAAACTCCTCCTGAAGGGCTCCGCAGGAGCTCCTGGCCACCCCAGGAATAGCTGTGGTTCTGTTGTGAAGGAAATGTTGCTTATAAAACAAGAATGGCTTGAAGCTTCATTTAGTTAATGCTTGCAAAGGGATTTGAGATCCTTAAATGAAAGGCACGAGGTATTATGAATATTCTTCTGGATTCCATTTTACTGGGATTTAATAGAAGCTGTATATTATTCCTGTGCTACTTGTGAAGAAAGATGGTTTTGAGATGGCTCTAATGCTTCTGATGTGATCTGATCACCAGGATGGGGCTGTAGCAACAGCAGCAGAGCTCAGAATTGTTTATTGCAGTGAGGGTGCTATTCCCCAGAAGTGTTGTAGCTGCTGCAGTTTGGCTGCACCATTCCAGTAAGCAGCTCTGCCCAGAGACACTGAGATTTACTGGTTAATGTGGAAAAAAGCCCACTGCAGGAAGCAGCCTGGCTTCATCTGCAGTCCTGCTCTGGCAGCTCTGGAGGGAGCTCAGTGCAGCTGTGCCGGGCAGGAAAAGGCCACGGGAGCAGGGCAGCAGATAACAGCTCCAGAGGGGGACTCGCAGCCCTGCCAAGAGCTGCCTCTGTGGCCAGGGAACGTGGCTGAGCAGGCTCCAGGGAATGTACAGGGCAGGAGCAGGACATGAATGCTGCAGCCTGTATGTTCATCAGTGTGTTAGTCTGTGTTTGCTGCTTCGTCAAGTTGAACTGTCAGAACGGAGAGGGGAGCTATTTAAAGCGCTCAAATTTACAGAGAATTTAATGGGTTACAAACCAGCTGTTCCATCTGCCTGGCAGCAGGACAGGGCAGCTTCTGCTGCCTTGAGAGGGCTGCAGAGGGATGGATGTGATGGGCTGACTGGGCAAGGACAGGGACAGGCCAGGCTTCCCCCTCCCCCGAGGGCTTCTCAGGGCAATGAGAGGGAGGGCATGGGCTGCAGTGGAGGGTGAAGTAGAGAAACCCTATGCAGATGTGGAGGGTGGGAAAGACTTGGATGTGTTCAGGAGCAGGCTGGTTGGAGCTCTGAGGCCTGGTCTGGTGGAAGGTGTCCCTGCCTATTGGAAGGGAATTGGAACTTGATGATTTCTAAGATCCCTTCCAACCCAAACCAGCGTGATCCCATGAATATCAGAGTGTGGCAAAACATCACCCTGGCTTTGTCTTGCACCACAATCATGGCCTGATCCTGAATGGGGAGAACGTCAAAGCTCCAAACTGTGTGTTCAGTACCTGTGCTTCACCCTGAGCTGCCTGAGCAAGCAGCTGGAGTTTGCCCTGTGGTGCTGAGCTAAAACAGGCACAACAGCTGCTGAGGCTCCTGAGCCACAGGCTTTGCTATCTCCCACCTTTCCCATCAGTAGCCACAGGGAATAATTTGCCTGCTCTCGTTTTACGCTGACGCTGCTGTTCCTCTCTCTCCACAGCACACGTTTTGCAGGAGATGTGCCTTAACATCTGGTGAGTACAGAACTGTTCTTGTGTGATGCAGCCAAAACACTTTTATTTCCTGGTTGACTCGCTTTCACCTAAAGAGAAACCTGCAGAAAAATGTCCAAAGGGCTTAAAACAAGCTGTCATTCAGACTGCAGCAGTGAGGGGCTGGGGGCCACTGGTACACTCTGGAGCATGGGCACTGCAGAGAGGGCTGGGCACAGGATGTTCTCAGATCCTGGAAAATGCAGTGGATAATCCCAGGATAATACATGTCTCGCCCAGAGTTGACCCACAGATTTCAAACTGAAAGCTTTCTGTGCCTGCCTGGATAAAGAACCAGGGGCCACGTTTGGCATCAGCACCTTCTCCCCCATCCCCTCAGTGCCAGGGCTCTGGCCCCTGACTGAGCCCCACTGAGCTGCTTTAGCTCACCCAGCTCTTCCAGAACCCTGGGAGGGCCCAAGCCCCTGGCTGCTGGCCTGGGCTGACCAGCTCCCGCTTGAGTTGGACTTTGGCTGCATAAGAAAGACTTTTTTTGGCACGAGCCTGTGCCCCTCTTGGCAAGCTGTTGTTCAGCACAGAGCCAAGCCATTGGCATTACCAGAACAGCGAGCCCTGAGGAGGCTCCCTGGGGAGTCCTGCAGAGCAGCAGCTCTTTCTGCCTTAAGATTTTTGTGTTCCACATGCAAGAGGTCCCTCTGCTTTGCATGTTAATCCTGCCACCATGCTCTGCTGCATCAACCCCAACCCACAGATCTGTAGCAAAAGGCTTTTCAATTGCAATCCCCATGCCTGGAGTGTTCCATAAACAGCTGGATGTGGCAGAGCTCAGTTGATGAGACAGTGATCGGTCCAAGGCTTGGACTCGATGATGTTGGAGGTGTTTTCCAGCCTAAAGGATTCTGGGTTTCAGTGGTTCCTGGCAGCAGGAGCTGAGGCCAGGCCTGGGTGAGGAGCAGGTTATGGCTGGGGCATCTGGTGATTTGTGCTCACTGCCTGTGAACACTCCCTTCAGCCAGCACAAGGCACTCTGAATCAGTGTGGGTTTCTTTCATTGGCAGCCCCCTCAAACCACTGTAGATTAACATAAACTGTAGCTTTTCCACACCCCAAGACAAACCAAAGATAATGCCTTGCACACCTTGGGTGAATATTCCTGGCTCTTTCCATGGCCACTCACCTGGTGTTGGAATCTGGGGTATTGATAATCCCGAGATTGTAGAAAGTCT